CGAACAGTATTTTTAAAAAAACAAAACGCTTGTAAAAGCGTTGTAGTGATAACTAGATGTACTTTCTGTATAAATGGCGATCGCTTCAAAGTAAACCAGAAGAGTTTTTTCACATTTATAGACGCGGACGGTTAAGGCAATCAACGTAGTTTAACAAAAAAGCCAGTTGCTAAAAATATAAACTCAAAGGGTGAACAATGTTAAATGCAGATTTACGGCATGTGCGGTACAATAAGTAGTTTCCGATGTAAAATTCCCGACTATCAATTAATGGAAAACAGCTTTCTGCTGCGTTATATATTGTTAATGATAAGGTATTATATACTAGTATCTTGCCTGGACAATCTCATTGATGAAAATCTCAAATTTGTAATAAAAAAGGTGACGTCATCATTGAAAGTATAACAAACAATTCCATTGCAATTGAGAAAAAAACCTTTTAAATACCACACAATCTCTGCAGAATGTGATGTCAGCCGATGTAAATGGAAAATTAAATGTTCTTCTAGACGAATATGAACGTGGTTTTTGTTCGTAATAGTGTTTCTTATGGCACATCGTAAGAAAATTAAATTCGAGTGGCGTCGAATCTTTTAAAACTATCACCTTTTTCTGCACAAAGTAAAAAATTATATTCGGTTGTGACAGAATTTTTTATGCCCATCACAATTGTCTTAAAAAAGAATGGGGAACTAAATTTTCATGCTCTATAATATTGGGCGGGTGAGGTTGATTTTTTTATTTTCAGAATAAAAGTGGAAATTTATATATGGTAGACATGTTGTACTTTATGAGTAACAAGCAAATAAGAAAAGGTATTCGCCGTTTTTGTTGCACGGATGTCTGGGCAGTGCAAGCGTGTTCTTTGACTGGTTTGAACCATTTTCAAATTCTCTTGCAAATATGTAGATTGTACTTTCATTTTTACAAACGGAAGAATGTTTACCACTGATACTGCACAGTTGGACAGACGGACATTCTGAGATACATTCCGAATATGAAACTGGGAAAGCGTTTTGAAAGTGCTGAAGAAAAAATGAAACTTTGATATACTACTTTTCCATATTTGTACAGTCACAACATCAACAGCCCTAGAATATACATTTAAATTTTACCTGGTGTCGTTTATGAGAAACGAGCAAAAAAAAAACATATATTCCTCTTGAAAAACAGAGGCGTCCTCACTTTACTTAGCACTGTAAGCGTATCCTACGACCGATTGTGCCCATTTTCCATACCAACCTATAAGGGAGAACTAATGTATTTACGAAATTTGAAGTCGATAGCTTCATTTTTGAAGGAGAATGTGTCTAACAGGCATTACACAGACGGACGTACGGACATACTTAAATCGATTCAGAACTTGGTGCTAATCAACCGTATATATATTTTAGGGAGCCTATGAAGCTTCCTTCAGAGCGTTGCAAACGTTTTCACAAAACGAATATAATTCTCATCCCACGGTATTGGATGAGGGCGGTTGATTTTTTCCGCTTTTGTCCGTTCCCGACGATTTGATCCATTTTCAACAACAGCTTGCGTGCAGGAATTTCTAATGTTTCTGCCCGATTTAAAGTTATCATGAAAATGTTTAGCACAGGAGTTACAGGGCGCATGCACTGGCGGACGGCCATGTTTAAAGGTGTCTCTCAAGTTTTCCTCTGAGTTTTGACAAATTAGAAGGTTGTTCTAAATACATCGTTCGGATGTTACCATCTCCAAATAAAATGCCTTATATGTTAAGTTTGCAGTTCTGTCCTAAGTATTTGATGAAACAATTCAAAATTTTCATTTTTCAAAAAACTGCTCAGAAATGAATACTAAATTAAACTGTGCCAAAATTTCTCAAACCGATAAATTTTATATTCCGCGCCTAGCTATTTCAAATCGTGAAAAATTAAAGTCTAGAACTTTCCAAGAAGGAACATCTAACCATTTGATAAAACCTATGTCAAAACCTCTTCAAAAGCTGGAAGAAAAATCAACATCTGTATATACAAAAAATGCAAATAAATCAACTGAGACAGGGTTGATACCAAATGAGAATTCCGATGACGACACAGACACTTCGAATTCTAAGTTGATGTTCTGCCGAGCACAAGAGTGTAATATTTTAAAGAAAACAAAGTCGGAGATACTGACATTGAATAAAATGTATCCAACAAATTTTAATAAGGATAAGAGCGGTTCCTCAATATCCAGTAATCCAATTAAAACTGCGCTCATTCTACAAAAGCCTAAATTAACACAGAAACCAGATCCGCTTGGTTTGTTATTAACAAATTCTGCCAAAGAATGCAAGCAATCCTCAAAAAGAATAAAAAGAACTTCAGCAAAACCAACGCCTACCTGGAAATCTCCCTTCAAATCTTTTATTACGCAAGGAGTCCGTACACGAAATGCTGCAGCAAATTTATATGTGAACGGTTTTGCCTACGATCTTTCACGCGACGAGTCTAAATTTGTTGGTTCATTTAAAAGCCCTATGAAACCGGCGTCAGAGGCAGAACGTGAACTGCTACGTAACGGGCGTGTAGCTTATTTGAATAATCGGTATGAATATTCCCCTGGCCGTAAATATAATTATCCAGAAGCCACCTCTTGGCGCATTGGTTGGTTTCAATGACATATTAGGCGTGTGCACAAACCGTGGATACCCCCAAAATTGAAATTATTCGGATACACAAAATTGTTTCAAATAATTCAGAAAAAAAAATGTATCGACCTTTCATATTAACTTTTAAAGTTTAGAATAAATAAAGTTAAAAAGATATTATAATTGGAGTTAAAATAAAATGATCACTACCTTTCCACCAAGGGTTTTTCAATAGTCCACATCTTCCATTCGATCTTTAGTATTAAAGAAGACGCATATATAAAAAAGGCGGATATTTTTCAGATATAAAGGAAAGAAAATGTAAAGGATGTCGATGTTGGACCAAGAAGGACGTAGAGACATCGCCATATACTTCTTGGATGAATAGACGATTCGACAATTTGAACAAATACACCATGTATTCAATTCACAGTTATAATACGTAAACGAAGAAAACTTTTTCGCCAGCAAATCCTAAACTTACTACAAGACGAATTATCGATTATTGACAACTTCGTACAAACAGATGTGAAGTAAGGACTTTATACTCAAGCCAAATAGGACGAAGAGCAAAGGTCAAAAAAGTGGACTCATCCGAACCATTTTCAGTAGCGTTCTTGCTTGGGCTAAAATATTGCGATCTGCAGCTTGAACACAAAAGACGTTGGACGGAGAGACGGACAAGCAGGCTTAGATCGATTTACAAAATGATTCTGGATGGATCGGTATAATAAAAGATGATTCTATCTTAGGCACTTCTGGGTGTCCACTCTACCTTAATATACCCTGTACCGCAAGTAGTATAGGGTATAAAAATCGGGAGACCAATGAAATGAAAAATGAAATAAAAAGAAACCTGCAAATATCCATGCCAGCACTGACATTGCAACAGGTGCGTCAACACTTATTTTGAATAGTTGCTTCCCCGGAAACTATTAAATTAATAACAATACATCGCGTAGCTGATTTCAGGATGTTCATGGTATTAGTTATTTCAAATGCAATACTTCTAATGGAAAAAAAGTTAGGAGAGTAGCAAAGAATGTGCTTAATTGTGGCGATGGTGCGTACAAAAAAAGAAGTCATAAAAAAAAAATTTGTTTTGGAAAAAAAAGTTATAAATTCATGTTTTCAAAAACAATATACAACTTCGTTTAAATTTGTGTCGAGCTGTTCATGATGTAATTCAATTTATTTTCAAATTTTAACAGCAATCTTGCTTTACTTTTCACATTAACAGCAATCTTGCTTTCATTTTCACACTAACAGAAATGTTGCCTTTTTTTAATGTTTGACAGAAAAGTATTTAAAACTATTCCAACTATGAACAGGTGGTTAATTTCGTATTCTTTTTGTTCATGTTCATTTAAAGCGTTGCCATTTATTGTTCTCTCTCTATTCTTAACACTTGGTAATTTTTGGTCGAGTAGAACCCCTAATTCGATGAACGAACCTATGTCTTCCAAATTGTATGAATCGATGAAATACTCACTATTGGATGAGTTCCTCCTTGAGAAAGAAAGCCTTTTGCGTTTTTTTACATTTAATTTCGTAAAATTTAGCGAGGACCATGTAACCAAATTATTTAAGTCAATTTGAAGCTGATACGAATGCGATTTCAGGGAGAAGGAAGAAAACAGTTTAACATCGTCAGCGTACGTGTTGTGGCAGTAAATATGTGTGTATGTTTTATGGAAGCCTCTTTCGTCTCTTCATATTTTTTCTATTATTATTATTTCTAGTATTAATTCTTCAAGTGTGCGCGTTGTGTAGCGTTATGTTTCAACAGCCCAGGACGAAGAACAAGCAACCCATACAATGCACTGCTTCTGCTGCAGACTACATCAATTTTTTGCGAACGTACAGTGAGTCTCATTAATGATAAGTTTTTTCGTGTACATATGGCTGGTCTTGTTCACCGAGGGGAGTTTTTGCGGAAGTGAATTAAGATTAGAAATGCCTTGGCTCTATATAAACTCCACATCGTTGTTTCATTGTTGTCGAACTCTTTACCTGGAGCAGCGAAAGCTCTTAACTTAAAGTTAGAGCAAAGGTAGATTGAAAACTTCTTCATAACAAGAAAGAGAGGGACATCAAATAATACAAAGACTCAAGACAAATTTTATTACATATGATCAATTTATTTAATATATAAATTAAATTAAAATTTACTTGGAAACACCACATTCGAACTTTCTTAAATTTGCTCCGATTCAAATCGAAATTTATGGAACGATTGGACATATATTCGTCCTTTCCTTTCCTTAATATATTTGTTCTTTTGTCGTAAACTTGTCATGGGCATTCGCAAGGAAAAGATTTGATAGAATTTATATTTTTTCACTAAAACAATTTTTCTTTTAAATCTAACATATTATAGCGTATATATATATTCATATATAAATATAATAAAAGATTACATTTTGAAAAAGTAAAAAAAAATTTCACTTTAGTAGAATTGTACATTGCTTCAGTACTTGAATCGATGTTTGCCGCATTCCTTCTGAGTTGTTTATATCACTGTAAACTTGTTGTTACAGATAAAACATGAGATGCTAATAGTCAAAATATGGTATTGACCAAATCTCAGTCAAATTTCATAGTGTAAATACAAAGGAAAGCCATCCTTCGAAAATGAAAGATTATGTTTAATTTAGACGGATTAGAGAACGAAAGATCGTCTCTAAATATCTATTTCAAATAGAAAATAATGATCCTTATATTATATATATATGTAAGTATAAATTTCATAAGCTTAGAACGTTGTCTAGAATTGTAGCAAAATAGGCAATTAAAATTTAAATAATGCAAGTTTAAGGAAAATGTAAAGGCATTGAAGACGTCGGATCAAACAATTTTTGCAAAAAAGCTTTTTAATATTCAGGCAAACTCATATACATATCAGCAAAAATCTTCATTGATAATGTCGGAATTGACAGCTAAGCCCCTTTCTTTTAAAGCTTTTGAAATCAAACGATGTTTTTCTTGCCTTTGCTCTTGCTCACGTCGTTGCGCATCCAAAATCTCTTCCACAGATATTTCCTTTAACGGCAACTTCAATTCTTTACCCCGGTCCTGAAAGTAAGATTGAAAACATTTTCTACGCGTTACACGTTTAGTCCTGAGTACGTACAATTTCTCCCAATAAAACAACATTTTCCCCTCGAATAATAAACACGCCGCGCTCTATATCTCCATAGTTATTGCCGACATGAATACGTTCAATAGTGCGATGTAATACTAGATTAGCGAATTGATCCACCGAACGCAAATACCCAATTAAAGTCCGTCCGTCTCTTAAAAGAACCATAAGCTTTTCTAAAAAGAATTCCACTAAGAACAAAGCATGGACATTTTTTCATTTGCTTACTATCTACTTCATCTAAAAGATGTGCTGTGCCTGCCAAGGGGTTTAGTTCATCGGCCATAACAAACCACAGTTATCTCAACTACTCCAACTTCTCCGGATCCCAAAATGATGGAGGTCGACAAGGTGGACAAGCTCAAAAAGGGTTGGGTAAACTTTTTCTTTCACTCTTCAATTTGTTGAAATTTCCTAAAAAACTAATTTTAAATTATAAAAAACGTGTTAGCTAAATCACGAAGGCTCTAATATATGTTGAAAGGTGTCTGTTGAAACTGCAAAAACAGAGAGAAAATTAAGTTTATACAAAGATTACATTATGTTCCATGAATTTCCTCTTACCTGTAAAATGTTTTTTTTTTTGCGAATGACAACAAAATGCCAAATATAGCACATATATATTGTTCGAAACGGTTACCACTTCGAAATGGTTACTTGAATCTATTTGCGCACCTCAGATAAATGATTTGCAGCTTAGCTGTATAAACATCGAAAGTCTGTTTCTTTTTCATATAATATTTTTATTACTATTTAAGGTAAATATTTTATCACAACGCAGTTAGTTCTCAAGATTGCTTTAAGTTGAAAAGTCCCTTTAGAATGGACATAAATACCAGTTTCTATAATTTCGGAAAGGTATATAAAGAAAAATAGGCAAACGGACTCTTTGGTAATGGAAATGACGGCTTTTCGTGTAAGCTTATTGTTTGTTGATCTTAGCACATGTTCTAGCAATTTTTCAGGTTTGTAACACGCACAAACAAAATTGGGAAACCGAAAAAAATGTATTTACTATTAATCTTGAACAGTGAGTGCTTTTCTGAGTGTTTATTCTTTGAATACCAAAAAGGGAAGTCCTAACTCAAATAAAAGTGTCCCGAAGTCCTGAAAAAGGCACTATCTCCCATTGTTCTTCTCAAGACGAATCGAATTTTCTTAGTTTCCATTAATTTGCTGTCCCTGTACACAATTAAGTATTGTATACGCATTATATTATTCTTACGTTAATTGTGGTAAAGGGTATATTAAATTAGCGTAGATGTATACAACGCACAGAACAACTTTAGTTAGAACTTTACCAATTGATTTCGTCCGCCTTTATGTTTAATCTCTTTCCTTTTATTTTTGCGTTCAATCTGGAATGATTGGATTGGAACATGTCCATCACCGCGCATCACCATCAATAGCGCATTATTTTGGAAAAGTCGTTGAAACGAAACTGCGATTTTTAATATGACGCGATAAAAGTCGATAGAAAGCTTTGGCAGAGTATCAATAAATGTAAAAACTTCGCAACAGATGGAATCATTTACCGAACCAATTTCTATATAAAGTTTTCTCATCAAAAATAAGTTTTTATATAGCAGCAGGGTCTAATTTTTAGGATATTGCTATAACAATTGTTCCAAAATTGTCGTCTGTTATCGAAATATGTCCATCCTTCTATCTATTTTTCGGATGACTTCATAGATTCTAATGAAAGATAAGGTTAAATAGAGCAAGTTATAACTTTCCATATTTAAGGGAAGATAGACGGGGAATTAGACGGAATGGAGTAGAGAATACACAACATTTAACTTACTTGGTTTTAATTTCGAAGAATTTTCGAATGCAATAAATTTATCTTAATATATATTGTGAACATACAACAAGTAAGAAGCTTATGTTCAATTGGGCCTGAATCTCGCATAACCGCCACAATTAAAATGTTTGGAGGTCCACGCACTTATATGTCGTCATAAGAAAGTGAATGCGATAAAATTTATCTTTCAACTTTTATCTCACTAAAAAGTATTGTTAAGAAAAATTAAGCTGTCCTATCTTGACGTCCATACTTCCTTAGGAAGCAAGGCAGGATCCCATCGCAAATCACGTAAAGCAAACAGCAAGAAACTCCTTGAAATATTGCTATAGCAAAATTGAATGCAAGCAAAGCGAAACTTCATTGTGATGATAGCCTAACTTTTTGTATGATATTGTAGAAAATAAAAATGATGGCAGCTCTGTTTGATAGACATGCAATGAATGAATACTTGATAATCGTTATTAAATATGCCGCCAATTACTTTTGCGATTTGTTTTTCTAAAGAAAAGAAGCTACAAAAGCTTTGTAAATGTTAAAGTTCTTTTTGTTACGTCGTTATTTATTTGATTTCTTTTCATCTTACTAATTAACTGTTGAAGTGGTTATAGTTTTTCTTTGTGATTGATTGAATTTAATCTTCTAATTTGTTCGTTATGTCGTGTGAAAATATAAAATCTCCTAATGAACAAAGAGAACAACTAGGTACGTCTGCCAGAGAAGAATGTGTCGGAATGTGTTCATATATGGCAGTGGTGATGTCCCGAATTTTCGTACAAACCATGGTAAAAATGAAACCAACTTTGAAAATACAAAAAATGATTTACTTTTTATAAGGACCTGTCCGTATCTATCCTATAGTATTCCTTTGTAACCTGGTAATAGAATCATAGCAACTGGATATATCTTATATGGTTTTCTTACAGCTATTGACATAAGTTTGATGAATATTCCAGCTGTTTTACATTAACACTACAAACAGAAAAAACAAAACAATGAGTCTCATGCATGTGTTTTGAACATTGGTAAATCTTCTATAATCGACAATATTGCAAAAACATATGTTGTAAACAGATGTATAGTCGTTCACAAAACGAAGCTGCGTCTACATTCCCACTTTAGGGGAACAACTTAAATCTATTCTTGGTTGGCCTTCTGTATCATTTAGTTAACGAAAAAAGAATTTAGAAAGAATTTACTATTATTAATCCTCTCGTAATTTGCAAATTACTCTTTAATAAAACAGTTCAGTAAATATCTTTTAAATTGAAAGTCAATCGCCTTTATAACCTTTTTTCGTTTTTTGGAAAATAATGAATGGTATAAATTGAAATTTCAAATAATATAACATCAAAAGAGTTAAAATAATATAGTATGAAGTATAAAGCCAAAAGATAGCTTTTGAATTTGAAAGATGTCTTTTTTTTCTTCCTATTTTTTTTTGTTTTATTTTTTGGGAGATGACACAATGTAGCATTATTCCTAATTTCGGATAGGGGCTTCAACTTTGCTTTACATGTATAGACACAACTGAAACAGAAAAAACAACGCATAAGGAGGAAATTTATTTTAAATCTAGAAATTATTTATCTAATCTATGTTCATCTTACACTAATGTACACTTGTTTTTTTTGTTGAAAGCGAAAAATGTATTTTAAAAAATTCATACGAAAACATAGTTATTGAGAAATTGATATGAAATCATAGACATTCGTTTGATTGTAATCAAAGGGAACCAATAAAAATGAAGAATAAGACACCGGCTCTTTGAATAACATACGTAACTGTAAAAAGAAAACAGTCTTTATAAAAAATTTTGTTTTTCTTTTTACAGTGCATATACAGGGAGTTCTTACACTTTCCTACGACGTAGCCCTGCTATCATTTTTAAAGAAATATTTTTCTGGGCTTAATACTGTTTCCAGAGTTTTCTTATTCTTTGTCATTTATTTTCACTCTAATCTATTTTGTTTTATATTCAAAGGCTTGTAAAGAAATATATTTCTAAGTTTAACGATTATTTCCAGAGTTTTTCATTTTTTTTATCATTCCGGTTTGTATTTAGGGATTTTTATTCTCCAATCGAATTTATTTATTTTCTCATCCCTAGTATTAATTTTTCAATCTCTCAGCTTTCAACTCTTAATGGAATGTGATTGAAGAAAACTAGGAAAAGCCAGCATATTATTTTTGTAAGATTATTCGCATAGAAATAAAATTTTCCTTTCCTATTCGGTCAAAAGTTTGTAAAAAACAAGACGCTTTCTTAAGTAAAAATCGCGAAAGTTTCTACGAAAGCGACATAAAAAATTGTAAAAATAAAATAGTGAAAACGAAATTACAAAAAAATTCCAGGCCTCCATCCATTAAATAAAAATAAAATTTCCATCGGATGGTAATGAAAAACACTTCAATAAGAGAGAAACAAAAATTTTTATAGATGACGACTATTTTACATATCTGTAATTACACAGGGTGTATAATAGACGAGGTATAAAATCGAACAAGAACTCACGCAAATTTCACGTGAGATTGTGTAATACGCTTTTACATTATCTCGCTCAATGCAAACTTATTGGAAAGAGATAGTAACAAAGTGCAAATTGTATCGAGTACTCGTTTTGAATCGAAAATTTTCGCAAAGAGTACAAAGTAAATATATAACATTTGGATAGACAAGGTTTTATTTATTTGTTGTTACTTATTTTCCTTTTCTTTTGTGATCTTGAAAAGTGCTTTTCTTATGAAGGCTATTCGGGAGAAAGTTTTTAATTCATTAACAAAATTCATTAAACACAATAAGCAGCACCTGTGTGCACAATTGCTTGCAAAACGAAAAACGATAAGATATTGACGGGAAATTCCATACTAAATAAAAGCGAATATATAATCACAAACCAAAACAAAAAAGAAGTAAAATGAACACTTTTGTGCGCAGTTATAGGAAATGTGGCCATAAAACCGAACTAGCGCTACCCATTAAAAGATGTAAGTTCGAGATATCTGATCAAAATTTTACATCTTTAAAACTATGTTAAAAAAATATTGTGAGCTCATGTGCCAAGTATTATACATAAGCAAAATGGAGAAGACCTGGTTTTCCAACTTTTAGTTACAAAGATGCCCAATAGATCAACACATAAGATTTTTTCAGTTTAGTGCAATATAGTTAGCTATATGCCGATCGCCTTATTTCATATTTTGACTTAACGGGAATTCCTCCTTACCAAACTAGTCACAGTTCCGTAATCGATTTTGGAGACTACATGTCTTTGCTAAAATACATTATTTTAGCAGTGAGAATTGATTCGCCTGTATGCCGCTATAAATTATGATGTGCATTTCTTTATATATTAAAATAGGAAAATAAATACTACCTTCTTTTCAGTTTCTTAAAATATATGAAAATGTTAAAAATGCAAAGGGATCTTTACCTATCTTTGGTAATTTAATGACACTAGTTTTGGTTGCAAATGTCGACATAAATTAAAAAAAAGAAATTACTTAATAGCATTATGGGACATCATACATATATGGTTCTTATTTTAATGTCCACTTAAGACATTTTAGATGTGATAAAGTTAGTAAAGGAGAGAAGCTTTGATTGAAGTCATCAAAAAACATTTTGCTAGTGTTCACTTGATAATTTGCACCCGTCAATTTTATTATTAGTGAAGTAATTATGTAAATTCTTACAACCGCTTTCAAAAGTAGTGGAGGCCGCTCATTTTATAATAAGAAACGTTTACGTATTCTCAAAAGCATTGTTCACATTGGTTATGTAAAATACTTAAAATGATTCACAGAGAAGGCAACAATAAAATACAAATACTACTAAAAATTTCTAAAACAACATTTCTCAGATTCCACTGCACATATTTGTACAAATATGTTTGTGAAGTACAGGCAGGATAACTATATTCCGCGTTTGTATCTTGGTAAACGCTTTTTGTCAACCAATAATACAACTGAAGTTCTGAGTGTCCTCTCCAACAAAAACGCCAACAGAATGGGATATCCAACGAAACCTTACGTCTACAATATTTCGAGGTATTTTTACCGAAGTCATCGGCTTTTCGATCAACCTTCTTCTAAAGTTGAAGTAACAGTCCAAACTATGAAGAATAAACAGAAAGAAAAGGTTGAAGAAATCATGAAAGAAGCATCTAGTGCTACTACTACTACGTCGGAGGCTGCAAGCGTTGGCCATATAACAAGTAAGGATTCCGATACAGCAAGCGCAAGCAAAAAATTGAATGAATCTACACCAAAAGCGATTGTGGTGAAGAAACCTCTGAAAGATCGTATTTGGGAGGAATTGGTGCATTACTATCATGGGTTTCGTTTATTAGTAATTGATATTAATATATGCCGTAAATTACTGTGGCGTATTCTGAATGGCAAAACCTTAAATCGTAGAGAAAATCGCTTATTGTTGCGCACTACTTCGGACTTGTTTCGTTTGATACCCTTTTCAGTTTTTATCGTTGTACCGTTTTTGGAATTACTTTTGCCATTGTTTATTAAATTTTTTCCTGGGATGTTGCCTTCGACTTTTCAAACGGCTAAAGAACGAGAAGATCGTCTGAAGCAGTCTGTGCAAGTAAGAATAGAAATGGTGAAATTCTTGCAGAAGACTTTGGACGAGATGGCGGTGCAGCATAAAGAACATAAAAGCGAAGAAGCAAAACAATTCGACATGTTCTTCCAGAAAATCAAAAATCCCAATGAATACGCATCGAACGAGGAAATAATTAAGTATGCGAAACGATTTGAAGATGAAATTACTTTGGATTCTTTATCGCGTGAACAATTAATTGCCCTTTGTAGGGTGTTAGAATTAAATACTGTGGGCACCACAAGTTTCTTAAGGTTCCAGTTAAGAATGAAGTTACGGTCTTTAACCACAGACGATCGTGTGATTGCTAGAGAAGGTGTCAACTCTTTGGATTTGTGGGAATTACAGCAGGCGTGTAAGTCGCGTGGCATGCGAGCGTATGGGTTGACAGAGGAACGCATGCGAACTCAACTACAGGAATGGATTGATTTGTCCTTAAATGAAAAAGTGCCACCGACCCTATTATTATTATCGCGCACTATGTTACTCTCAGACGATTCCATAACCACGGATAAACTTAAGGAAACAATAAGAAAGTTACCGGATTCCCTGGCCACCCAAACTAAAGCCGCCATTGGTGAACGTGAAGGTAAAATCGATAATAAAACTCAAATCGAAATAATTAAGGAGGAGGAAAGAAAAATTAAGGAGGAGCGGGAAGAAGAGCGAGAAGAGGAACGTGCTAAGGCCAAAGTTAAAGCTGAAGCAGAACCCGAGATAGGAGAAACGATGGAAGTTATGAAAGAAAGTGATGCTATTTGCTCCGAACGCAACATGATCATTCAAGCGGCAGAAAATGAAAAGAGAATGGAAGAAGAAAAAAGCATTTCATCTAAAGATGTCGCTTTGCTCAATGAAGCCCTGAAAACTCTATCTACCGATAAGAAAATGTTGGTTGAGAAAGAAGCTATTAAAGAAATTAAAGAGGAACTAGAAGAATATAAAGAGGATGTAAAAGAATTAAAGGAGGTCGGAAAAGCTGTGCAAGAACCTGTGGCAGAAAGTCGCGCCGCCAAAATGCTTTTCAAAAAAGTCAATCGTATGATTGGACAATTGGATAAAGTGCTTGATGATTTCGAAACAAAACATAAACAACAATTACAAGAAGAACGCAAAGCTGAAATAGTTGCTAAGCACGGAGAGGAATTTCTTCACATAGACGAGCTGGTACAAACGATAAAGAAAGTAAGTCCCTCGCAAGTTATGAACAAAACATATATAAATAGGTATATGAATGTATAAATTTCATGTAAATTTGAATTGCAGCTAAAGCAGACCTCGGACGAGTCAAAACTTACGCAAATTGTTAATGTTTTAAGTAAACTGGATTCGGATAAGGATGGTGTTATAACAGTCGATGAAGTTCTTAAGGTATGTAAGTAATTTTTGACAATGATTATTTTTAGATGGAGTTTTAAAAGCAAAAGAATTCTTTTCAACTTAACGCAGGTGGTTGAAGCCATTGGTCGCGAAAACGTTAAACTTAATGAAAAGCAATTAGAAGAATTAATTGCTTTGCTTGATAAAGAGCAACTTTTAGAAGCCGAAGACAAAATTGAGAAGGCTTTAGCGAAAAGTCAAAAAGACGCAGAAGAAGCGAAGAAGATTAATCGAACCTTCAACGAACTTGGTGCAAAAAGTGGAAACACACTCAAGTACATTAAGCCAGACTGCAAAACACCGGCGCAACCGTGTGAGGATTTAGTGGATCCCGCCAAATTAGTGAAGGACGCATGCGAGGATTTAAATATTACCGATCAAAAAAATAATTTGAAAACCGATGTAAGTTGTGTATGAACTGAAATTTGATTGTGTTTGTCAAGCGAACGATGAGAGCATAGCAAGTTATGTGATACTCAAATTCTTCATTTCATTTGTTGGAAATTTATGCAAATATACCTCAATTGAGATATATGTTGACTTTAGTGTTTTCCATTATGATTGAAAGACCGTTTAAAAGACACATACAAAGACTTTTATACTCTTATTTTTCTATCCGAAATAGTAAATCACATCAAAGGTTCAATTTAGTGTATATTGGTTGAAATTTTTATTTATAAATTTGAAAAATAAAAATTTATATTCTTTTACTTTATTCCAGAAAACTGATGCTCGCAAAGAGGCTGCGTTACTTGACGCGGCCGAAAAGCAAAAGGAGAAAATCTTACCCAAAAATGATATACATTCACCAATGCCACCACCATCTACTATACCTGCACCCCCGCCACCATCAAAAGCTACCCAAATAAATTCCAAGGATAAAATGATTTGACCGAAAACGGTAAAGGGCAAAAATATAAGAAACTTTTCCTATAAATTATCTCAGAATGATCTCGACGAACCGATCCAAGGCACAAGATTTGACAATAAAACTAATAATACCAATAAAACCTAAAGTAAAAAGAAAGTTCCAAACCATATAACATGGAGCTTAGGCAATTCTCGTTACCTCTTTACCTTTTAGGTTATGCTATTATTAATTTTATTGATTTCTTGATATCTATCATCAGCTCTCGTATGTCTTGCAGATTTAATTGCGTGATCTTTTATATTTTATTTTTCATCTAAAGAAAGAAACAGCCGAGATATTAACAAGGTATAAGGATTTTGTAATTAAAAAAAGGCGATAAATCAGATAAATGATTATCGTTAAGATCCACCTTTAATCACAAATTCCTTGCACCTGCTTATCAATAAAACTGTATATACGTATTTCATATTGTTATAAATAACGCTTTGTAAGTTGTGTTTGAAATTTCATATAAAGATGAAACTGGAGATTTTTAGTGATTTTTTTTAAGTAAATGAATTTGTTTTTTATTTTTACGATTTTATTTATTTACATTTTTATTATTATAATAGCGGTATCAGCCTAATCCATTCTGTACGTTTAAACGAAAACTCGTATATTTCAGGTGAAGTGCTTAATTAAAAAATCACAGAACGAAAGAGAATATATATGTTACACCATACCTTGCACAATATATTTTTTTTTTTTTTAAGGTAAAAATTGTGTAGTAACATATGAATAAATATATTTTATATACCAAAAGAAATTCTTATTATTCTGTAAAATGGTGGGGGTCTTTGAACGCATTTTTCAATTCTCTTTTTTTCAACGATTTCAAGTGAAACCTTTCATCTAAGAACAATAAACTGCGGTAGTAACACCCTATATTCATAACTTTGTGGGCAGGGCCATGTTTTCATGTTTATCTCATGATTGATTATCATAAAACATTAAAAAAGTGCAAACAAGAAAATCTAATCACTTGTAAATCTGTGTGGACTTGGCCATTTTTCTCCATTTTTGCACATAAATAGTAAAGTTTTTCGTAAAGCAATTGTTGAAGATTTTAACTTTCTATCTTTTATAATTTGTGAGTAATGATCAAAAACACACAAATTTTTGTTTAGACAAACAAAGTTCAGTTTACGCTTTACCGTCCGCTTGTGCTCTGACCAATTTGGCACACTTTCAGTACCGGCTTGCGTGTAAAGGCTCCCAATGTCTTTACCAACTTTAAAGACAACATCTACGTTTTTGCGACCAGAAGTATGTCAACAACACACACATAGACGGACACACTGACATACGGATGGACAGACAGTTATAATCAACTCAGAGTTTCATGCTGATCAAGAATATATATACTTTATAATGGCTCTGAAGCTTCGTTCTGGTTGGTCTAAACATTATGACAATGATGAGGATACCTCCCATCCTTCATTGGTGGGAATAAAAATGTATATAATAATGTCAGGTAACCCCGCGGAACCTCGCTATGTCTTACAGAAATGTTGCGAAGAAAAGTAGGTGCGAAAACACTCGAGCTTGCTATTACCGCATATGAGGCTTAGTTGAATGCGCGAGCTCTGGCTAAATGGTGGATACTTGTAACTTTGACTATACTCAATGACTGCTAAAAAAGCGCGCCTAGCTTTAATGAATGATAGGTATTACGCGAAAGGAGAGATTGTTAGAGCAGTTTGTGAGCACAAGATCAGATAGTCTTGGCTTAATATTAGATTATGTAAGTGGAATAGTGCCAACAGCATTCAAACTGAAGAAAGCATATCTAGACAATGGCAATACCCTTTATCGCACAGAATTGGAATGTCATTAATGTGCCGATCCGTGGGAAAATATTATTTTCCATTGACATCGCGATCAACATATAACTGAGTGGAGACGTAAATGAACATTCACTTGAAGGTTTGGAATAATCCTAATGAAATGAAGTCGCCGTGATAGAAGAAAAAAGAGAGCTATGGAAAGATTATATTCGTCAATTATTTGCAGATGACATGAGATCGGTAGGCTTTCCAAACGACGATTAACAGTTTGCGAAAGATGAAATAAGAGGAGTTATGCTATAAAAAATGCCAGAAACGATAAGGCCGTGGCTAACGATGAAATAACTCAAACATTATAAAACTGATAAATAATGATAATCCAGATATCCATATAAATTATTTATTGAGATCTACGACACAAGCATTTATCCTGATCACTGATTAAAATCCTCGTTCATCACAATTTCAAGAAAATGTCGGGATTATAAAATGACACCCCTTATGAATCATATTCCGAAAATATTCCTAAGCATGATTCAGCAAAAGCGAATCATCACTTGATCGTACTCAGATCGATTTCCGGAGAGGCATGGCCACCAGAGAAGCTTTATTCTGAACAGTGGAGTTGTGTGTCAATACGTTTTTCTTTATTTCATAGATTGTGGAAAAAAGAGTTTGACAAACTATAGCACGATAAATTAATAAATATGCTGAAAAATCTTAGTATTGACGGAAGAGATGCACGTTGCATCAAAAATTTGTATTAGAGACAAACGGCAGAGGTTCGAGGAGAGCGAATAAACAACAACAATAAGACAGAAACAGGAAAGAGTACAGTAACGCAGACACAGCAATAATAACCACAACAATCTAAAATACATTAGTAATAGTAATAGCAACAGCAATATCAGCATCAACAATACAACACAAAACAAAACGATATTGCTAACAGCCACTCATTTATTGTTGCATGATATGCAATATAGTTTTCCAGTATAAGAAACAATTTGCGAGTGCGAGCACAAATTCCATCGAAAAATGCGTGCACTAGGAATAAATTCTGAATTCATCAATCTTGCAAAGGTGCTCTCACGTCCAAGAAGAGGAAGCATTTAAAGTTTTGGGATCTTAACCTAAACGACCAAACTAATCTGCTGCGCAGACAGTCTAGATACTTTTACAACCAGATGCTTCGTCGCGAAAGAGCTTGACATGAGCAGCGGTGGTATACCAATGTTCTTGCCGATCTAAAAACTAGCAAATCTGACCTTTCATGAAAAGAATTGGAGAGCAAGCTACCGCATCGATTCCTGCTCTTCTCAACAACGACGACATAATATCTTACCCAGTTAATAAAGCTAATGTGTTTGCTGAAATGTTTGCTTCAATCTACGGCTCATCATACAGCAACCAATCATTACCACCACCGGGGGAAAGAGTAATGTGGACGATGCCTGCAATAGTCCTACGAATGGAGGCTGTTAAAAAGGACTTTGGCAAACTCGACACCCGCATGGAGCCGCGGACAGACGGCGTTTCAAGAAAGTGCTAGATACGGATACTCATACAAGCATGTGTCAAAAATAAGCTGATCACGTTAGACCATGTGAAGTGCGGAAATATTTACGAAATATGATTTGGTTAACTCGTATCTATGTATGTATGTATTTTAAGTATTTATGTTAAGATTAGCATCAGTTTGACCGACAATAAAGTAACGCCACTAAATGGCGATCCTGCCAGAAGCACATTTTATACGATTGGTGTGTTGCTGTTGTTCTTGTTGATGTTGTAGATGCAGATGACACTTATGTTGCAATTTTGTTCAATGTGTTTCAAAATGAAAGAGTCATCTCCTATCCGTATCAAAATTAAACGAAATTTTAAACGAATTCCGAAAAATTAAAACGAATATCCTGGCACAACTTGCTTGTCCAGGAAAATTAGAATAAGATGTTGTTGGGAGAATGTAACTAGAGATATTTCTCTTTCAATATATGTTGGGAGCCCTCAACCGGATGCGACGGAACGCTCACGTGCTCATGGCCAACAAAAATGTATCAAGAACTCTTGATACCCTTGAGAATTGACGTAATGTGAGTTTTCTTGTGCTTACGTGCTGGCTTCAGAGGAAGTGATCTTCGGAGATGTAGATATAACTACATGTGGCCCACTTAAAATAATTTAATATATTGTATATGATCAGTATCACCTAGGAATTGTAATTTGATGTGTGTTAAGAAAGCCCTCTGAGAGAACCAAATTGTGTTTCTATCGAATTCATCTCATCAATTATCTCTCTTTCGAATTAGGCCAATAGAAAATCCAATAAATATAAATATCAATAGTCAGTGCGGACAAATGCTCCTTTTACTTAGCTAGTGACAATTTGCTCCTATTTGTGTGTGCAACTGAAAGAGGGGCGCCCTGTCGCGTTTCAGTGCAGTAACAAACCATCGCGTGTATCTTCTGTAGTAGTAATAGGTAATCAAAATGAGTAGACACACATGTTATGAAGATGCTCCAAGATGTTGAAAGTCAAGGAATTTCGGATAGCTTTTAACGCAGACAGACTATCAGCGGTAATCATAGTTTTCAAAGTTTGAAGGGTAACTTCGGCTTCGGTTGTGAAAGTCAAAGCATTTTCCTGAAGTACGTGATTAAGCAGAACTTTTCCTCATGCGTCTACAGCGGTATAGGCAGTTGGCAGACCGTCAGATTTAGAGCCGTCTGCCAGCCATCACTTACGAGTAGTTTGGTTTTGCACACAACTAGATTCCTGAAGACGTAACTTGACCACATTCATAGCTTGAAGGATGGCCCTGGCTTTAGTTATGAAAACTGAAGGATTTTCGTGATAATTAACCTTTCATTTAAGCATTTTTTTTTTCTCTTTTAACAAGCAAAAGAATTCAAAAATTAATTACGTTTGGCTACGATTGCTTAAAAAACCTCGACCTAGGATATGTGTTGCATTTAAATGTAATTAAAAAAAAAAAAAAAAGTTTTAAAATTTAAAAATTAAAGTGAAATCTTTCAGAAACGCTTTACTTTTCCTCTCTATTCACTTGTCGTCCCCCTGCGTTCACTGCGATCTAAATGTAAATGCGTTTTATCCGAATTGTAGTAAAAAGCCGCAACGAATTTGACTGGAATAACTAATTGGACAGTTTACGATAAATTCGAAATTTTCAAATTGAAGCTAAAAGAGAAAAAGGTGACATATTAGACTCTCTATATAACTACATGTATATACATATTTGCAAATAGCCTACGTGTATAAATTGCTAAATACTACGTGTATAATAACTAAAATAAAGTGGAAGAGATATGTTTAAGGTTTTTCGTGTGTGAATTGCGTGCTCGATTGTCGACAATTAATTTTATATACATATCAATGAAATGAATTATTTGTTTAATAATATATATATATATATATATATATGTGTCATTGAAAAATAAAGAAAATTTCACAAATGAAAGTGAAAGTTTTCTATTCTATACATTTGTGTAAACAAACGTTGAAATGAAGAAAAAAAGAAAAAAAAAAAAAGAAGAAACGACGGGAAAAATTCCGCAACTGAAAGCAAGAATATCTATCTATATTGCTTTTGATAGCAGTACTACAACAAATATGTTCACTTGCGTTCAAAGGAAAATTAAGTAAATTAAAAAAAAAATAAATAGAAACCATCTTATTTATGTATTATACATGAACGTGTGAGTGTATATAAAACAACAAACTCTGTTATGGTTAATTTGTCCATTTATGTCAGATCACATTGTGTGATGTTTCTTTATATTCATACTTACACACTAACATATTGGCAAACATTAAATGACTAATTATGG